CATCGCGTGAAATTGGGAATGTGAGTCTTGAAAGACTTAACAATAGTTGTGCTAGGTGCAAAAGCCCATGGTCACAATGTTAAGTGCTTTCAAGACTTGGTGAATAAAGAGGTGTGGTTACCTGTATAACAATAAGTTATATAAGTGTGAATAATTGAAATGAGCAAGCAACACAATAAAAGCAAAATATCGAACGAGTTTACGGTTACATGCCCAAATAGAAAAGTTCGTGCAAGGTTAAATGGGTTCGTGGCTACATGCCAATATAACAAAGGAGATAACCAAAAGAGAGGTTCCATGCAACCGGTCCAATAAACAAAGCATAGACTACTAAGCGAGAATCACAAGTAAATCTAGGATGGGAGCCCGTTGTCCTCCGGTCGGGGACCATCTCTGCCTCTAACCCAACGTCGGACGCAATGGCCTCACGACGGTATCCAAGGCCGGCTCCCACCAAGGATGGGTCGCCGAGAGAGACGGGTCACCGTTCCACCCCGCGGGGGTAGGGAGGCCGACCATCATCTTGAGCTCCTCCGCCTCGTCCAAGGAAATAGCGGCTCCTTCGTCTTTCACCTTGGCCAGGGTCCGATGGATCCCCTCATGGAAATACAGGCGGCAGGTCGTGCAGATCATCACGAGATACGCCCTAGATTCATGGTACCTCGACAGCAGCTCGTGTCGGTACCGATCGACGAAGCGACATCCGAGGTTGGACCTTAAGAAGGAAGTCAATCCCTCAGACCGAGCGTGGACAATACGCTCATCCACCGACGAGCATAGCAGCTCGAGCTCGGCATCCTTGGCCTCGCGTTCGGCATCCTTAGCCTCGAGTTCGGCCTCTTTGGCCTTAAGCTCAGTGTCTTTAGCCTTGAGTTTGCTTCGGGGCTTCTTCTTCTCTGCTTTCTGAAGATCGAGGGTCTTTTGAAGCTTGGAGAGTTTCTCTTCGCCCTTTTTCACCTTTTCCTTGAGGGACTTCACTTTGGTAGTATCTCCCTCTAGCTGCTCCTCAAGGAGAGGGGCCATGCCCGCCAGAGCCTATCTGGAGCAGAGGATGAGTTATATATATAAATTTTACAAAACTTGTTTATTAAATAGGAGTTGAGGGTTGGGGAACACGTACCAATCTGAGGTGGTAAGTGATAGCGCTGGCTTAGTCCATCATGGTGGGCCATCTCGTGGTCTTGCCTCGCGGGACGATGTCAATGAGGTAGGAGCTGGTCACGGAGGCGTCGTTGTTCCCGGTGACCTTGTTCGGCCGTTTCAGGGGTGCTTCGGGACCCTCTGTAGATCTGAGCCTCTTGCGTTTGGCCGAGAAGGTTTTCCCCGTGTGTTCGCGGGGGTAAGTGCACGGAGGAGCGCGCGAAGGAGCATCATCCTTGGAGAGGTCAACCACCGGTGGGGGTAACCCCTTAGAAGGGGTTGGCACTCCCTTTGAGGGCCCGGTGGGAGCTGTGGTCGCGGCCTTAGGGGGTGCAGCCACGGTCTTGAGGAGGTCCTCCGCAAAACAAAAGAAAAACATACAAGCATAAGTAAATGAGGTATATATGCATCACTAATATTATGAGGGGGTGGGGGATATGGCGGCAACTCGGGGTGCCCAGCCCTACCTATGTCATCTACAGGGTCAGCGGTACATCTGGATAGCTCGAAGTGCCGTAGGAGCCGATCGCTAGTGGTCAGCTTGATCATGAGAAGTGGGCACTCATTCCACTGCTCAATGATGGTCTCGTAGGCGGTCTTTCGCTTCGAGCTCTTGAATTTAGTCGGGGCCATGGGAGGAAAGGCGAAGGTATCGGGAGAGGGACACACGAAGAAGAATTGTTTTTCCAATTATGCATCTTCGATTTGGGTTGGCCTATGAAACGGGTATGAGGGCGACGCATGAGGTAGGGGACGTTGTTCGAGTTTCAAGGCAAATACAATAAAAGCACAACTTGGGGTCGAGATAGCCAAGACGGGCTCGACACACCATTATGAAGCTAATAAGGAGACGAATCGAATTAGGAGGTAATTGGTTCAGGGGGACCCCATATAATCGGCCTAGGAGGAGTAGGTCGGGGTGTAGGGGAAATCTAAGCCCGGAGCTCACTTGGTCAAGGTAAAAGTTGTGGTAGCCGGATGGGGGGCTCTCGAAAGAGTCGTCGGGATCGGGGATTTTAAGTTTTCAACCTTTTGGCAATTTGATTTTCTTGGCGAGAAGGGCTATTTGGGTATCCATATATGAGGAGATGGGGTTGGTAGGCGTGGCTTGGGAGTGGACGACACTCTTTTTTGCGTTGGTGTTAGGAGGGGTCGTCGGGCCCAGGAGAGCTAAGGCATTGAGAGTGATTCTTTGGGTGAAGAGTGGGAAGATGAATGGGAGGAAGAACTAGTGGTACCCGAAGAGGTAGAACTAGTGGTGCCCGTAGAAATAGAGCTAGTGGTGTGGTTCGTCGAGGAAGAGCTATTGTGGGTTGGAGAGGTAGGTTGTTCTAAAGGGGTGCGAAGGGGAAGTAACGATAAAAGCAAAAGAGTATGACAAATAAATGAAACAAATGACAGACAAATACAAGTACAATAAGAGGGTGCATTATAAAGGTAATTTCAACAAAATAAAGTGGTCAAGAGAAGTAGGCGTACCCATAAAGCTTGTCGATGCGGCTATTGTGTGCGATTTGGTGAGTGCTCATCGTAAAGGGGTGTTCGTTGGGCCCGGGTGGTGCTAGGTATGGTCGTCGATCAGCCGGTGTGAGGTTGTCGGGGCTTTGGTCGTCGGGTCCTGGAGGGTGCTAGGCGTGCTCGGCAGGTGCTTGGCGTGCTAGGCGTGAGCTCGACGTGTCCTTGGTGTGAGTTCGGCGTGCTCACGACGTGATGTTGGCGTAGCGCAAGCTCGTCGGAGGAGGTGGACTAGGCACGTGAACGACGGATTGTCGTGGGCTCGTCGGGATGGTGCGCGTCGGGTGAATGTTCTCGTCGGTGGTATGATCTCGTCGAATGGTAGCTGCCGGATTTCAACTAAGGGTTGGGTGCTCTCTTTTTTAGAGAGAGAAATTATGTAGGAGAGACATTTTGGGAGAGAATAAGTGAATGAGGATGAAGAAGAGAAGAAGTATTTATAGATGGGGAATTAGGGTTTAGCTGACCTTGGGTCATCTTGGCCCTTGATTTAAAAGTTGATCAATGGTGAAGAGGAAAGCTTAAGGGAGAAGCCAATTAATGGGTCCAAGGTGAGCATGTGATGAGATGTAGACATATGAAGGACAACACATGACAAGCTAGGTGGGCACATGATGAGCCTAGGTGGGTGGAGTAAGAAAGTTAATAATGGTAGTGGCATAATATATATTATCATTATTTACAAAGGTTGAGAATCAAATGTGGTTATATACTAAGTTCTACCCGCCCAGATTGTTCATACGGATAGCTTGACATTTTCAGTGCACGGCATCGGGGCCTTGGCATAGGCGGGTGCTCGGCATTTGGCGTGGCGGGTGCTCGGCGTCGACACTAAGGAGTGCTCGGCGCCACACGGAGGTTGGCATCATGGCATGGGAGTGCTTCGCCAAAAAGAGTGCTCGGCAGGGGTAACACCCAGCAGTAGGTGCTCGGTGTTAAGGAATCGTGTGGCGTCGGCATCGGTGCTCGGCAGTGTGGAGTGCTCGGCACTTAGTGGCCGGCGTCACCACGATAGCTTGTTTGGTGCTCGGCGAGAGGCGCTCGGCAGCACGGTGCTCGGCAGCGGGGCTCTCGAAAGGGGGTGTCCATCATGGAGTGCCCGGCGTGGCGGCGTGAAGTGCTCGGCGTGAGGCACCTCGTTCGGTGTCACTCAAGTGCCCGTCATCATTCGGGTGTTCAGCGCCACTCAAGCGCTCGTCATTATTTGGGTGCTCGACATCTTTCAAGACGACTTGGACGCTTGGTAGGGCGCGTGGTGTTTTGCACAAAAACTCGCGTAATGATGAGAGAGTTTGGATGAGGTACACACAATACTTATTGCTATGCATGTAATTTTCCATTCCTTAAAGCAAGCTCAACTTGTCTAAGGAATGGGGGGGCTAGATGATGTGGTCGTTAGTAGTGATTCATTAAGGACCGGTCGCGGTTCGGCCGTCGCATTTGTATGGAGAGCACTTCACGCCAAGTGCACAGCACCCCCAAGTGTGCAGCATCCTCAAGTGCGCGACACCCCAAGTGCGTGACACCCCCAAGTGCGCGGCACCTTCAAGTGTGCGACACCTTCAAGTGTACGACACCCTCAAGTGCGTGTCACCCTCAAGTGCGCGGCACCCCCAGGTGCGCGACACTCCCAAGTGCGCGGCCCCGGGTGTTCGGTGTTAGAGAGTACTTGGCATTTAGACAGCCCGGCCCGAGGGCGCCGTCAAAGGGGTTGGAACTTGATATTGGCGTTGAGATCAAGTTATGAGGAGGTTCACAGCAATAAGGACTCTAGAGACAATAGAGATAAACATCAAGAAGACTTCTTGTCTCAGGAGGACTCTCCAAGTTTCTCCCATAAAAGGAGCAGGTTCATTCATTTTTACACAACACACATACACGAGTTATCTCGTTACTCTGTCGTTTTCTCTCTGGACCATCACTGACTTGAGCGTCGGAGTGTTCGCACCGGGACCACCCCCGGCGTGCTCTGTAGGTACCGACGATCGAATTCGGCTAGTGGTGTTGGTCGCGTTTGAGCTGGTGGCGGTGGTGGGTTGGGGACGTCTACTGCTTCTCCGATCACAGGGCGGGTCGTCCTGTTGGAGTGGGTTGAAGTTTTTGGACGCTGTTTCCACTAGGCCTTTGCCGGCAGTTTCGAGAGCTGTCTTCCGGGGTTGAGTTCTTCTCTATCGTGGATGGCCGGGTTGTTGTTGGTGATTCGTGCAGGCTGAGGTACCCTTCCAATCCCCTTTCCTCTATGTCTCTGTGTTGGGTCTGGGGGAGACTGGTGCTAATGTTTCGGCTAGTGGTGTTAGTTGGTTCGGGGCAGCGGTGTTGTGGAGTTAGATTTGGGTTTCTTTGGCTTACTGCAAAGGGGAGGGTCTGCTTTGAGGTTGGTCTGGGGCGTGGGTTTCTGCTTCAGATAGACCTTTGGGCAGTTTCGGCATTTTCTCGGGCTGCGGATGTTTCCTTAAAGTAGACTGTTTGTTCGATAGATTTGCTGCGGAACGGCTCTTTTCTAATTATAGTTATCTTTATTTTTTGTAGTTTTGTTTATGTAGTGTGTTTCGGTGTTGGTTGTTTTGTGTTGTAAAGGATGTTGAAAAGGATGGTTAACCGAACATTGGAGGGTTTATTGCACCAAATCCCCCTGTATTATATGAAATCTGCGTGTTATCCCTCTATATTTCAAAAATTGCGTCATACCCCCTTGTATTTAATATCTGCGTGCATACTCGCCCTTTGATATTAACACCGTTACTTTAACACTGACGGTGTTAATTTTTTTGTCAAATTTACCATTATACTCTTACTTTATTGCTGAATTTACCATTATGCCATTATACCTTTATTTTATCACTGAATTTACCATTATGCCATTACTTTATCACTGAATTTACTATTATGTCATTACTTTCAAATAATATATATATATTCTAAATTATATATAAAGAAAATAATATACATATATATAACATATATATAATTT